TTGTAGCAATGCCATCTGGTCGGTCAACAATTTACTAGGTTTCTACTATGTTCCAGGAAGTATTCTAGGCCCAGAGGACTGTGGTGACAAAGACAAGCAGTGCCCCTTCTCTTCTGGAACAGATGTTTCAGAGAAGGGAGATAATGATAATAAACAGGTAAATAAATACTACAGGTGAACAGAACGGTTTCAAATCACAGTAACAGTAAGTCCCATATAATAAAGAGAGACTTTGAGCTGAGACTTGGCCTGAGGAGCAGAGAGTTTATATGTTCATCTGAGAGGATAGCTTCTCTAATGTCAAGTCAGAAAAGTAGAAGAGCTGGCAGAATAACTTCAGGAAAATTTTACTTCTGCAAAATCTGAGTCAAAAGAAAAACACTGTCAAACTCAAGTGTAAAAGTTTAGACCTTGAAGAAACCAAGATGGTCGGGCAGCATGGTCTAGAAGTAGCTTCGTAGTTTGGCATCGTGGATTTAAACTTTACATGATGAGTGATTAATTGTTGTAAGGGGGCCCAAGTTTACAAGGCCTGAAATGAGGCCAGAGGGGCAGGGTCTTGTCAATAGGTAATACAAAAGTGACACAGCAAGGATAAGAATTTAAAATCCTCGTCAGTCTTCACTGAGAATTAGTGATAGCGGCACCTCATACTTGCATGCCATTTTATGTTTATTCTGGAGTACAATTCACATTTTCTATGTCCTTTGATTTCCACGACAAGGTATTACAATCTTCGTATTAGGTGAAGAAACTAAGTCACAGAAAATTCAGACAGCTTTAAAGTGACGGCACTGTTCTCTCTACCATAAATAACCATTCACTCGTAAATACAGATACTTCACCATTTTAACGGAAGCACTCAGCGATTCCATGACACACTGCCCATGTAGCCAGTTGAAAATGAAGACTTCTGGCAGTCTATTATTTTCTTCCTAGTTTTATCCATTTATGAGGATTTTTAAAACTGAAGTTATGCCTTCAAAGTGCAAAAACAACCACTGAAATAAGCAAATTGGTAGGAAAAATGCTCTGGTTGGTCCTGTCTACCAAACAAGCTATCTGAAGCCATAGTTTGCTGTGGAGTCAAGCAGACAGACAATGACTCAAGTTCAAAGATGTACTCTGGTTCTTATTGCTGACACAGTGAAGATAGATCTTGCTTCACTTAAATTAACACTGAAAAGTGAAGGTCAAAGGAAAGCCTGAGATTGTGTCTAAGTCTAGGCCAAGAAGATATCAGGGGTCTTGTTATTTTTAAAAACCACAGGCAAGAACAATCACTAAAGCTGAGACTCAGATAAAAGCAATTACAATCCAGACCTTTGCTTCTTAAGAACTGCTGGCCAAAGAATGAAAAATTAATAATTAAAATTAAACTCACTGAAATCATATTAATATCTCTTTGGTAAACAAAGACCTTTTCTCAAAACAAAATTTCAAGGGATTTATCACTTATAGAGGAATAGATGTAATTATTACCAAATAACACTGATTGAGAGTCAAAATCATTTGAATTATTTAATGGGTACCAATAAGGTATAAGGATATTGCACAGATCATGAAATTAGATGCTTTTCTGCCTACTGAGTGTCTCATCATAATTTAACAGATAGACACAATTCAACATTCTTAAGCAGAAGGGAGTCTATCACCAGTAAATATACTAGTGATCATCTTTAAGAAAAAAATTCATCATTGTAACTTCTCCATAATGTAGTCTTCAGTGCCTATGCCAGTCAACTGAGATTGCTTTATGAGAGAATTATGTATGTGTTAGTGTATGTTTCATCAAAGGTGCTCAGGCATACACTTGAGTTAGGGTTATAGTAATTTTGTTGTCCAAAAGTATCGAGGGAGAGAAGGTTTAATCTCATAGGTGTCCCTTCTGAAGTGTCATGCACACAACTACGTGCCATGAGCTGACTATTAGGGAACCTTGGGCGTGATCAGACTGTATTTTTGAGAATGTGGAAGAATCCTGCTCTATTCCAGTGAGGGCTCATGGTGACTGTTGTCTTGAGGTGGCAATAATAGATTCTGGCCTCCACTCAGGCCATGACTCATAAGCTGAAGCAAACTTGGATGGTCAGCTTCATCTACATTCCAGAGGAGAGCTCCTCAGGTGGTTGAATGTCTGGATCTCCTGGGACTTTATTTTTTTTTTTAACGTTCTCATACAGAGCCAAAACCCTTTGGTTCTTTCTCTGCCCTTTGGGACTATACTGAATCAATCTCATTCCTCTTCTACATGATGGCTGTCTTCTTTGGTTATTCTAGAAGACTTTAAGTCAAAGCTCTAGTGGGGCTAGCAGTCTTAAGCAAGGGATACCACAGTGTGGATGGAAAGACATAGCTTTGGAATCAGCTAGAACTGGATTTGAATGTCATACTTCCTGTGTGAACTTGGGCAGATATTACAGTACCCTTTGAGCCTGAATTTCCTTATTTGTAAAATGGGAATGATCATATCTACTTTATAGGATGTTGCAAGGATTAAATGAGAAAACAGCCCAGCACTAAGCATCTAGTAAGTGCTCAGACCCACAAGCTCCCTTACCTCTTGACTCTAAAGGAGCTTGCCTAATACCTCGATCACACATCATTTCAAGCCTCAGATATACAAAGCAGATTTTATGCCTCAGTATCACCTAGCTGCGCATGTCACCTGAAATTTCTAAGTATTTCACTAGTATAAAGTCCTCTAACATCTAGAGCCACTGCATACATGGAAAAGGGTAGAACAGTATTAACTTTGCTCAAATAGGGTTTAAGTTGAGCTCACTCACCTTATCATACTGCATACGGCATAATGGGGGATGGAGCCACCAGGTGTTATCATCCTCCAGGGTGACAGTAAATTCCATTTTACAGTTAGGACTTAGCATCTTTGTCATACAAAAGTCATACTTCAAAAAGTAAAAAAATGTGGACTAACATTTGCTGAGTTATATTGTTAATACCATGGAAAATAAGCAAGTTGATTTAATTAACTCATTAATTTCCTATCCTTGTCACTTTCACAGGGACAAAAGCTTAGCCTCTTCTAATCAATGTGACTTCGCAGAGGCAAGGTTCTGGATAGACTCTGTGATTCCTGTGGCACAGTCTGTTTTCCTAACAGTTATCTAGACTGGATCAGTGTTGTTACTTCAACAGTTATACAATGGAATGGAGGGGGGGAATTATAGGTAATCCCTTCTTCTGAACTAGCTTGAAATAAAAATTAAATGGGCCTTGAGCGTTTGTGAATTGCAGTGTTTCATTGGGGCCATGGAACACTAAGCGAGGCTCAGAAACAGGGTGTTAATTCAGGCCTAATCATTTAATTCCACTCTGTTATGTGCCGTATTTATTGCCCTCCTGGATCTGTTTTCTATGGCCTGATAAAGAGACAGTGATTCTCTGAAGCTCAGTCAGGGACCATTTTATTTATATTGTTAGTTAGTCCAATAAAAGCACTGGCTTCAGATTCCTGCTGTTACTTTCTGTTTTGTAGCCCTGTCGTTAACCATGAAAATGCTGATGGGGTTTGCATCTCCTGGGCTGGAGTTGCTTTGCAGTGGAATGAGGGACTGGAAGGAGACGGGATGGTCTGGACCAGATTGACAATAGAAAATCCCGGTTTGGTGTAACCAGATAGATGCAAATTGACCGGGAGTCAACACAGATTTTAGCAGCAAGTATGAACTTTCCTTTGTTAAGCGTCTTGGTATGAATACTTGACTGACATTTTTTAGGGTGAACTTATACCTGTGTAGGCTGTGATTCTGTTTGTGAACCAGGAAGGTTTTAGATATTTTTTGAATCAAAAACTTGCTGCGACTCTCTCCAAAGTGAAAACAGTTCTAATCACACATAAGGAAATGGAATATAGATCTACCTAAAGTTGTTTATGTATGTCAAGCAAAGGAGGAATGATGAAAAACAAACAAAAAATGCAACAGATCACACTTCACATCCCCCTTTTTAGAAACAGTTTTAACTGCATAGTTTAATTGACTGTTTTCCTAACAGTCTATAAAGTGCTGTAAAGAGGCCCAGAATGAGGAAATGATGGTGGGAAACAGATTTATAGAGGTCACAGGAATTAATGATATGGCAGTCAGAAGATAACACAGGTGCATTAATGAAACATACTATGTAATTACCAGTGTTTCCAATGGAGTTAATGTGTAGTTAGCCATGTAATAACAGACATTATTTCATAGTAGATGTGCAATTAGCTCATGTCATTGGTGTGTAGTGCACAAATGAAGCAAATCATTAATGTTATTTTAACACTAACAGATGAGAACATTTTGAGGACCAAAGGGATTCTTGTTCAGATGGATCATCTTTTTAAGTCTATCTACAGCATATATTCAGCAAGTAAATGTGAAAAGTATTAACAGTCAGTGGTTTCTGTACCTATGAAGCTAGTTAGATGTTTGGAGCACTTAGCACTAAAGAAAGTTGTATTTGAGGAGTGTGGTTGAAATAACATGAGCAAATGGGCTTGTAAGTATAAATATAAATAACCAAAATTATCATATTCTTGTTGAAAGATAAGAAATGGATATTCATTCATTTTGCTGACAAAGAATTATCATTTTCTATAGGAGAAAGACAGCTAAAGATTTAGGTCATGCTTTAAGCACTGGGTAGAACCTGATGTTCCAGAAATCTTGCCAGTTCCAATATGGCAGAAAGAGGTGGCAGAAATTTCCAAAACCTAAAAAAGCCATCTGAAGTGAATAAAATGAACAATCTGTCCAATTCTCTTAAATACAGATTGATGTACCCTTGAATTGTAGTATACTCCATCTCTATTAGAGTATTTGCTAAGTCTTCATTGGCTTCACTCTATAGCTGTGTTCTTCAGCACTGCATGTAGGAGTGGAGGAGACAGGAGGGCTGTGTGTGTATGGGGACATAGGAGAAACAGTAACAGCACTTAGTGCCTTAGACTTGATGAATCACTTTGTTATGCATTATCACATTTGATGTTCAAAACAAACCTGTGAAGCAGGTGGGTGAGGTGTCCCCATTTTACAGATGTGGTAACTGAGTCTCAAACTGCTCATGTGGCTGAACCAAGGTCACCTGTAGAGAAAATGGTAGAGTCAGGTCTTCTCATCCTTAAGCCAGAACAATTCCACTAAATCAAGATAGAGAGGAGCTGTGAAAAAGAATAACAAGCAGCCTCATTCATGTCCCTGCCACTTAGTTCTAAAACGTTTCATCATTCTGTGGTAAATGTTAAATTGTGGATTTTCGAGAGGAAAGGATCTTAGATAATTAAAAAAAAAAGAATTTCAAAGAAGATGTGGAGAGTATGTGGGAGGGGGCCTGAAGAGACTGGTAGAGACACCGGAGGCTGATGGGATAGGGGAGGGGAGGAGAGAGGGTGTGGCATCCTGGGGGTGAGAGTGTGCCAGCCACAGAGGGTTTGCAAAAGGAAGCCATGGGAAGTATGTTCTGAATGGTAGACAGTGCCCAGATGGTGGAGTCCTTGAATGCAAGCTTAAGAGTTTGTTTGGAAGAAAGTGAAGAATCACTGAAAGTTTTGAGTAGGAGAATGATGTCAACCAAAAAAAAACAAAAACAAAAAACAACAGAACTTTACAAGGATTAGTCTAGTAGCGTGCAAGGAAAAGTAGCTATTGTTGGCAAAGACACAGTTATGAGACCACAGCTGTTGTCCAAACATGATGGAGGAACTAATACTACTTAAGAGAGGGTATACAACCAAAACGATTTAATAATTCTCTGGTGAATTAGAAAAACAACTTTCAAATGTTCTGAAGTATTTAAATAAATCAGTCACAGTTGCTCCCCCTTCTTGAGAATTAGCTCCAAATTAAGCTCAACTTTCAGTAGACATGAAAAGCAAAATTAAGCAATCATCTAAAATCTGGGGGCAGTGTCCTATACTTAATAAGTGCTCAAGAAATTGTTCTTACAATTTTGATGAAAATATTATCTAATTCAATCAAGAAAAATCGTATTTCTCTAGATATCCAGCTTTTTAATATATCAGTATTTTTGTTAAAATATGATTTATCAGGCTGCTTTAACTTTTCTATGTATTTCAAACCTATAGATGTAGAGTAAACGGATGCTAAATTCAGAGGCAAATAGAGAATCAATCTTTTTATGAGCTGAGTGACATCGAATAGGACAGTGGTAGGAATAAAGGATAAATTTCATGTTTTTAATTTAAGAATCTAGAATCTTTATCATAGAGAATTCTATAAAACTTTGGTATTTGCTGAGGGTCACAATTCCAATTAATTGAACCAGATGGCCTTAAGATAAGTAAGCTCTATTATTCCTAGAAAGGCTTGGGCTAAAGCATGGACGAAGATAAATGAGCTTTTGGAGATACCTGATTCTTCAGTATAAATTGTCACACTGGCTGGGTAAACTTGATTAGCAGGTTCCTTAACATCTCTGGGCCTCTGTTTTCCTATCTGGGAAATGGGGATGGTAATAGTAGTGGTTGTACTTGCTCTCACAGATAAACTGTACAAATGTTAGTCCCTTTGTGATTCATTCCCTAATCTTGTCCATGTGCCCCCCGCACCCTGCAGTGCCCAGTGCCCTCATGATATTTTCTGGGCAACACTTCCTTCTGCCCTCATCCATATTAAAGGTTTCGTGTCCTGAGTTCCAGCTCATCCTACTCAGTGCACTAATTTTGGCCACTTGATAATCTGTTGCAGGCCAAGGTGTTAATGAATATAAATATATCTATTTATCAGCCATTCCTGACACCTTGTTTGCATTTAAACAGGGCTTAAAAGCCTTAAGCCAAACAGTGAATATGGTATTAATTTTAGTTTCTTCAATTGGCTAGTGGGGAAGATTCTGGAAAGGAGAGATGGAAGGAGTGCCTAAATCATACCACACATACGGCAGACTTGGGGGAAAGCCTGGCTTTCGAGGGGGTCCCTTAGTGGCTCTATAATCAATACCTAATGGGGGCAGCTCCAGCCGTAGTCAGTTCTCCCTCCAGGTTGGTCCTGTACACCAGGAGGACTTTTCTGGTTAACAACACGTGCCGCCATCCCTTTCACCTTTAACGAACGTGAAGGATGCCCTTGTTGGGTACAGCATCTATGCTTCCTGTAGGTTTGATGGCCAAGGGCTGCGTCCTGATGTCCCACGTCCCAGCTACAGCAAGGGCCCAGCGGGTCTTCCTCCTGCGTTTGCAAACACAGGCATTGACTCCACAGGTCTGCTTACTGCTGCTGGGGAAGTGCCACTATGCTTGCCTGCATGATGGACTCTTCCCGCTCAAACCGATTGTGGCGCTTGCTTCCCCCAGCCCCGGCGCCTACCTACAGCTGTGCTTACTGAAGTGGGACTGTAATTTGCTACAGCATGCCAGAGTATTAATAGACAATTATTTATTGCAAATCTGGACCATTTATACTGTTTACTGGCTGACACAATGTAAAATTTTGATCCAAATGTTAATGCGTCCATGACATTGCATAATTCTGTTCCATGCCATGGTTTTTCTCTTCTAAATGAATCGAATTTGCAGTACAAGGAAATGGCATTTTTAATGGATGAGTGATTTACAGCCTCAAACTTATAAGGCTATTATTTGTATAACTAAGGGAGAATTGACTAATTGCAATAACACAGCAAATTAGACAAATTTAGGATTGTACTGGGAATAAAATCATAGGGACAAAATGAAAATAACTCACAAAGTTCTTAAAGGGTAACTGAATAAATCTCACTTTAGCTTTACAGGGCAATTGTATTTTGGGGTGAGATCAGGTAGCTTTGAGGACAAACAGACTTATAAATATTCAATTGAGTAGAACATAGATAAAAATTACCTCTTCATGAAGAACCATATGTGTAGAAGAGAGCACTTCCAATTCTTCAAATGTTTACTGAAATTGCCTACACAAATGTTTTCAGCAGTCGGGTGAAAACAAAGAGCTTTATACTTATGTGGATTTCGTGAGAAAGACACCAATTTTTAGCATATCCACCTTCTATTTGTTGAGCATGTAACATAATGCCAAGGAAGAATGATTTCCTAATGGAGATCTTCATGATTTTTCAAAATAAAATATGTGCATCAGCAAAAATAATATTTCTTTCTTTCTTTTGGAGAAAGAAACTTAGGTTGTATATATCGATTCCTGTTATTCTGTTACCTCTGCCCACAGAGAGATTGTTAAGATAAAAAGTGCCTCAATGCAGCTCTAATTAGATCTCTCAGAACTACACTGAGGTGTCTAAACACAAGGACATTCAAAGTGAAAATTCCTTCAGTATTTTAGTCCAGGTGGCTCCCACAAATTAATGAAGAGGGAAAAATGGATGTGGGGTGGGGGGTGCTCTAAGAATAGCAATAAAATACTTGTGTGTCCTTCCAAATGACATACAAAATGGCCTTCTTTTCTCCAGAAGGCAAGATCCTCCCTCCTTTCACTGGCTTTACTGATCAGCTCTTTGGTTTTCTTTCCCACCCCTAGTTTTACTCCCTTTCTGTTCCATACAGTCTAGCTGATTATCTTGCTAAACTGTCTGCTTGTCTTGTTTCTCCCCTGCTGAAAACTATCCCCAGAATGGTCAGCAGAAAGCATACTTCAGTGTGGTGCATTTGGTACTTTTAAGCCTCACGCCTGCTACCTCTCCACCACCTCTCCTGCTGGTCCCCCTCTGCCCCCGCCTCCCTCCTACAGCAGCCTCCTCACCCTCCATGTGAACAGTAAGCTCCAGATAACTTGGAACCCTTGGAAAGGCCATGTACTTATCTCTGACTGGGGAGCCTTTGCACATCCCTGTTTGTTCCCTCTGCCTCTGAGGTCCTCCCCACTCTCTCAGCCTGTCTCCTACTGATGCTCCAGGAGATGGTTCAGATGACATCTCTGGGAAGATTTTGCTGAGCCCTCTAGCTGGTTGGCTGCCCTGCTTCCCCCATCAGAGCACCTCCACACCCAGGTGAGAGCCTTGCTTCTTTAACCACCTTCTCCAACGGCTGGAAGCTCCTGGAGGGGATGACCTGTTTCTTTTTTCTTTTCCTTTTCTCTTCTTTTCTTTTCTTTTCTTTTCTTTTCTTTTTTAGTTGAGGTACTGGAGATTGAACCCAAGACCTCGATAAGCATGCTAGTGGTAGAGCGTTACCACTGAGCTAAACCTAACCCTCTGTGACTTGTCTTCTTTACTGGACTTGGCCACAGAGTAAACACCCAGTAAATATATGAGAAATAAATAAAATACCTATTGAATATCTACTTTGTCCCAGGCGCTGAACAAGGCCCTGAGAAGAGTGTGAAAAATGGTTTTGCATATTCTCCCTTCTTCCAAATAGGACAGCTTACAATTAAGTAGAGGTAATATAAGAAGACCAGAAATCACAAAGCAGAATTTGATAAGAACCACAATAAAGGCAAGACTTGCTATGGGGTTTCAGAAAATTGGGATTCATTCTTTAAAAATCATTATCTTATCTTTGGTTCTCTGTCATGTTCTCTGAAATCAAGCAGACTGGGAATTAAATCCTCATTCAACCACTTATTAACGATGTGACAGTTTACCTGAGTCTCAGTTTCCTCATTTGCAAAATGAAGATAATAATATTTATGTTACAGGGCGCTGTAAAGATTAAGTGAGATGGGGCAAAGGGCCAGTACACAGAAATGGCTCCGAAAACAGTGCTGGAAATATTATTTTACCAGGATGTGCTACTTGTTTCCTCGGGTCTGCTCCTCTGTGCTTCAGCTTAATTATTCAGCATCTAACATTTCACCTGCTGGGGTAGGAGCCTTATCTGCATATTGGCATAAGGCCCTTAGCTCATTTTCAAATTAGGACACAATACACTCAATTCCTTTCAAAATTGATTATAAATTAATACTTGGAAGGGTTGCCTTGCAACTAATAGGCTTTAATTTGGGTCTTTGTGAAATTTTAAGGACTCAAGAACAGAAATCATAGCTTACACTCTGCAGGTAGTCAAAGACTTTTTGCTGAACTTGATTGGAGAAATTAAAATATTGGAATTTTTGTTCAGCACATAATTACTGGGTTCTTAGACAGACCTCCTTGCTGCAACCATCTTTCCTTCCACAGGCTTTTATCTACAATGGAGAAATGTCAAGGGGAAATGGAAGGCAGTTACCAACTGCAGCAATGTGGACAACAACAATGTAATGACTGGTTGAAATTGAATCAGACTTCCATATTAACTGTCCACCCACGTCAAATAGAAGGACCAAACGCCATTGCTGTAACTGACATGGTAAATGAAGCCAAGACTATTGTCCACCATATTAATAGCAGACCTAGGAGTATATAGCAGTTAAGAATTTGGGTTGCAAAACTAAACGGGTCTACATAGCTGTGTGATTTTGTACAAATTACTTGATCTTTTTAAGCTCCAGATTCTTCAGCCATTTCATAGGGATTGTAAAACCTATTTTGGGAGATCACCCTGTGACTCAATGGACACAATGCATATGAAACACTTAACACAGTAAGAACTCAAGTGGGTCAATATTTTTATTATCATTTTGAAGACAAGTGATGGAATCTCTGGCATTTTAAAATACACTAAACCAAGGATGCCTGTTTGAGAGAGAAGATTTTTATATTATTCTTACTCAACTGAATGCCCAGCCTGTAATTATTGGACAGTGCAGTCTTGCCTTCCTCCAGACTGCCAAAGAATGAGGCAGGTGTTAAAACACACATGCAAGAAACAAGATCAATAGACCCCTGAGGTCCAAACTAAATCAATGCAAACAGAAACTTTGCATTACTTATAGCCAGATGCTACCTTCAGTGTGTGTGATGTCGCTTAGTCTTGCTTTCTTTGCCATCATGCAAAATTTGAAAATGGACATAATTTAAAAAATTAAAAAGGAAAGAAATATTTTGTAGGCTTTATCTCAGAGAAGCCTGGAGAGCAGTTTGGCTCAGGCCTCTGCATTCAGGAAGAGCCTCAAATTAGTTTTTGAGCATTTTTTTCTAATCTGTAACCATGAAGATGTACTGATGGCGTTTAAAGAAAAAACACATCAGATAGAATTCAACCTGGGTCCCCATATAGGATCAGAAGGCTTGCAATGAACTATTAAGAAGTATTACTTACATGTTATTTGATTGTCTTTAGAACAACATGGTTATCTTGTCTGAAATATTTTGTGTTGAAGGCTTGAAATTTGTTTAATTTATTAATTGAAAAGACGCCACAAGCTTTGTAACCCTGTTTACATGTTTCTTCACTTTTTAATACTCAGAACCTCTAGAAACAGAAGTAGACCAAGTCACTGTCTTGACATGTAAGGGGGTCACACCCTTTCTAACTCACTCATCTGGTTAACACCTGATTTTGATCAACAGGGGGAAACTACCCCTTTCCCTATTAAACATATCTATTTTACTTTCACATCCCATCCAAGAGGAGAAGCCATAAACAGGAATACATTGGTTAAAAGCCAGTTTTTGTTTCTAGAGGAAGAATTCTTTTGGAGTTGGATAGGGCTGTATCAGTGATGAACATCAAGAGGAATTCAGATTTTATATTATTTGTTCTAAACCAGAACATTTTACTTATTATTCATAATACACGTTGAAAGCAGACACCAAAATGGCTCATTTGGAGCCTTTCTGTGCTCGCCCGCTAATGCACATTAACGCCAGTACACATTCTGTATTACAGATCCATAAAATGCATTTGCATAATATTGAAATTATAATCCCAAATGTGTAGTAAAAACCTTTATGAAAAATTGTTACTGCTCAGCTACTATACAGTGGCTAATTTTTAATCTTCAGCCTCTCAGCTGCGAGTAAAGATAGGGTATTCTTTAAATAAAAATCTCAAGAGTAGGAGCCTGGAACTTAGCTCTCTTTCTTTTAAGTAGGATATTTTTAGATGGAGGAATATCATCTCTAATGTGTTAAACAGCTGCCTTCACAGTGAGTCTGGCCTTTTGTGGATTGACGTCTTGACTTTTTAGATTAGGTTGAGAAGTTATCTCTAATTTACCAGCCTAGTATCAGCAATGGGATGAGGGTCTCTCTCATGACCCCAGCAGAGGGTCTCTTTTTAGTCCATGGTGAAGCCTTCTGGAAAAGAGTCCAAGTGGCTGAGGTGGCCAATGTTTTGGCAGAGAAATTACTGGCCATGGTTTTTTTGATCTCATCTCCGTGCTCAGTGCTGTGGTGGACTCTTGATTGAATTATAACAAGAACCCTCTTATTAATTCAATGAGGTAGATATCTATGATGAAACAGTCCAGAGAGGCTGAACATTTTCCAAGGTCTCTCATCTCTCGGAGGTAGACCTGTTAACTCCCATATGGAGTCCAACTGCTGCACCCAACAATAGTGATAAATACAGGTGCTTGATTCTTCCTTCAAGTGATTCCACAACTGTGTTTTCAAATAATTTTCAGAGTTCTAGCTGAGACTTTCTGAATTAATGTTACTGAATCACATTTCTACTAGGCCTTATCGACACAGACCTTAAAGGGAACCCCAACGGGTGGGCTGAACACTCACCTGGTGCCCAGTAGGGACCTGTCGGCAGGCAGCCTGTGTTTCCTCTATGGAACTGGTCATCTCTTGGCCATTGGCCCCTCTTGCCTTTTCCCAAACTCAGGGAGTTCTACTCGATTCATGTCTATATGGTGACCAAATTGTGAAGCAAGGACATGTTCTCTAGTGCCCTCTCACCAGGCTCTTCTGATCCCTCCTTCCTCCTCTCTCTTCTGAAATATTCAGCTGCCAGAAGGAAGAGAAAACCAGAGTCAAAGCAGGTCTGTTCCCACTGGATGGCCACCTTATCCTAGTGGCTTCCTGACAAGGATGAAGGGAGAACCAGAAAGGAGACAGAATAAATCTCCTACTTTATTTGGGGGGTTTTGGTCTGGGAAAAAAAAAGGTACCTTATTTCCCTAGTCATTTATTTTATTTTGGTTTATTTAATTTTAATAGGTATACAATTCATATTCAAAAGGTATAGTAGTTCAAACATTATGTTTTATACTGTGGAAAGTCTCTTTTCTATTTCTTAAAACCAACAATAGCATGTTTTACATGATACTCTGCACCTAATTTTTTTCATTTGTTAGTATCTCTGAGATCCTTTTACAGGACCATATAGAGCCATCTCTTTCTTTTAATGCATATGTGTGTCAACTTATTTAGTCAGTCTTCTTTTGATGGACATTTAAGTTGGTCCCCATTATTTGCTATTACAAACAGTGCTGCAATAAATCACTAATTCATAGGTCCTTTTGAAACGTGTGCCTAGATCTATAAGATAAAATGCTGGAAATGTAATTTAGGGACAAAGGGTACACTTTAATTTTAGTAGATTTTGAAAAATTAACCACCATAGAGATTGCACCAATTTACAATCCCCTCTCCTCCAACCCACCAGCTATGCATGAGCGTTTCTTAGCTTAACCTTTTCAGTCAGGAGAGTCTGGTAAGCTATGACTAGGACTTGAGAGAAGATGGATTCAGAGTAAGGCTGTGTAGAGGCCTGGCTTGGTGGATGGCAGCTGGACTGTAGCCTGTTCCCAGGCATGTGACAGAAAGACTGAGAAACTCTTGATGAGCCCATTCTGTTCATTTCAAACTACTCTGAAATAAACCCAAACATATGGGTCTCCTGTCTGCTGCTAAAAATCTCCAGGAGGTAAATTCCACAGCCTTCTTGGGTAAACTATTTGGACTTCTCACAACTCTTCTGAAAGTCAGGACATTTTTCCTTATGTGTTCTATAAATCTTTCTTGCATACACCCACTTGTGAAAAACGTGTGCTAACATTTCCCCAAAGCAATGCAAGCTCAACTTGCTAGACAACATGATGCTATAATTTCACAGCTAGAGTATGTATCCTCCTTTTTAAAAAAATAGCATACATCCCCTAAATCATTTTAGAAACCTTTAATGCATACACGACGGATGAGTGGGTTTTTCCTACCCCGTATTTAACTTAGCTATGGGCTTTATAGAGATTGTGTGCGTGTTTAAAATTTTGCTGTGCTCTCTTGTTTTATTCTTCTTATATATTGTAATCAGAATTATGATAGTTTCTCGTTAGATGGTGATTGACGTATAGCTAAGAACACTTCCAGTGTCACTTCTGCTAGATGAGAAAATGTCGCTGTAACTGAGAGGCTTGTGGGCTATTTCTGAGTGTATCTTTCTTCTTCTGTCTAGATACAATAACTATTTTAGGAACATTTGGCATCCAAAAAACCCCAGCATTGTGCAAATTAAAACATCTGCTTATACTTTGACACTCTCATTCTTCAAAGGTTAGTTGGATTTGCGGTTGCTTTGTTCAACAAGACTGCTCTTAGAGCCCAAGGATGCACATTTAATTACTGGGAAGATATGTTTGACAGAGCTGTGGGGGGAAAAAATTACCCTTCATATTCAGACCAGCATTAACATTTTTATGGAACGAGATTGCCAGAGAGTCAAAGAAGGGGTAAACTCCAGAAAAAGAATATGAATCTATTTGGTCACTGGTCTTCTACTGATTTACAAGACGCCAACCAACGCCTCTTTGCTCTGTTGCCTAGAACTCATCAGTTTGCTCTCAAACTGGCACTGCTGATTTCTGCTGAGGTTAAAGGCAGCAAAGTAAACTCTGCTTCCAACAATAAATAACAGAGGGAGTTATTCTTTTCACTCAAACAGGCTTTAGATCACAGCAGACAGCTACAACCAGGTGCATTTAGCTACATTTGTCATTGCCACGAATGCAAAACATGTAAAGAATCTGCTGCAAACAGGTCTCTAGCCAGCCTTTTCCACCTTAAATATTCTTCCATCCTCAACAGTGGTTGAGCCATTGTCACCCAACACCAGAAGGAAGGGCCGAGGTGCCTGTAGTAATGGCAGCATCTCCTGACTGGTTTGTTGATTTACACAGGTCATTGGTGCCAGGTAGCAGATTGTGCACTGGAAGTCTTTCTGTGTCTCTGGCCAAAGACTGGTAATCTCCCCAGGCAATGCCGAGAGAACACATGTCAAGAGGCAGCAGCGGCTGGTAAGCCAACTCATCACTCTATTTGCCCCACCACCCCTTCCTGGCCCCCTCTGGTTAC